CATTAGAATCTGTCACTGTGTTCTGAGCTTCATGGGGACTGTGTAATTTTTAGACTACTTGTCTCCACGGCCACCGCCGGTGTGAAGAAAACAAAACTTCAGACCTTGAGCAATGAATAAGAAGAAGGTATGATGAGTCACTGTGGTGTTTCATCTACCTGCAGAACTACCAAATTACTTCAACCTTCAAGTTCTTTGAACTATTGCTAGGACATTTGAAATGCAAATGCAGTTAGCATGCACTCATCATGGGCACAAATGTGATGGTAATTTGGGGCTTTTACGGATTTCTGTTCATCTTCCAGGTTGGAATGATTGTTCAGTAGACATCTTTAATTTATTTATTTTGGATTTTTACTTTTGAACCTTGCCGGTCAAAAGTTTACATACAGGCTCAAATTTATACAGACATCCCCACTAACATGTAGTTAAATGTCTTTTGGCAAGTTGCACCTTGCCCAGGCATTTTTGGAAGTCAACAAAATTCTAGTATAATTCTGGCTTGTTGGCAGAATTAATAGAGTCCATGTAAACTGGCTGGTTTCCTGGCACAGACCTGGCTTTTAAGTATAGTCCACAAATCTTCGGTAGAGTCGAGGTTGGGGCTTTGGAGAGGCAATTCCAGACACTAAATGGTCTTAATGGGCTTTATAAACAACTGCAGCTTCCCAGATCCTCGGTTTAAACAATTGCACTTAACTGCAGTTTATTCAGATTTGACATCATTTGGCCAAAGTTTGGAAAAAACAAAACAAATTGTCACCCTGAAATAAGAAGAAATTGGTTAGGATGTTCAGGAACACCCGGGAACCACCAAGGCACAAGCCAGCCATTAACCGGAAACTGCTGGGACACCGATGTCACTGTCCACAGTGACTTGAGATAAAGCACGCACAAAAATAACGTTTCTGGAATAGCTCAACCCTTTTGAGAATTTGTGGACTATGCTTAAAGGCTTATATTAAACAATACAATTTCACAAATACCAGCTTGAAACTTAATTAATAATAAACTTTGAAAGAAAATGATAGCATCTGGCACCTGGCAGCTTTCATCTTAGATGAATCTAGCTCATAGGCAGTGGTTTTTGTCTGTGAATTAAGGTGATCTGACCTCATTGAGTTTCAGTTGTCTTATGCAAGCAGGCTGCATGATGAGTGTTTTTTACTGATAGACTCACTGATGCAGACACAATGAGGCTTTTACAGATCAGGTCACAACTAAACAGTAACACATGAGTCGGTGCTCAGTGATGATGTTTTTTTAATTTACTCCAGCCCATTCAGTGTTTTAGAGCGACACTGTTAAAATATTTATGATAACATGCTAAAAACCTCCAGTTCACCTTTACAAATATAATAGTCTGACATTTCCTGATTTTAAAAAGCACCCAAATTAGATAATAATAAATATATAATGAACTGAACAATACCAAAATTGAAAAGAAGCAAAAAGAGCAGGAAGGAAAACTAGAACAAGATGCATGACAAAACTAAACTTTAAAAAAACAACAACAAAGTAGCAAAATATAACTACCCGTACATGAAAGCAGAGACAGAGGAACACGAGCACAGAAGGCACAAGAAAATGAAGATGCTGAAAACACAAGAAGAACACAACAAAACGAGCACAACAACAGGACCATGACCAAAGTCCTCGGTTAAGTACTATTATTTGGACACTGGAGGTGTTAACAAATGCTTTTTCAGATAAACGATGAGGCTCTATTAGTAGTTATGCACTAATATGCATTAGTATGCACAGCAATTGAGTTTCAAACAACTCAGGAGACTGGTCTGTGATCTTTGTTTTTATCACCAACTTTTTTGACTCTTTGGAGTCACCTGTCTTTAAACAGGCCATACCCCCATCGTTACCTTTAAAAAATGATGTCAACTAATGCCAAGATTTTAAATGCTCACAATCTGCAGTTCATGGCTGTATTCACAATTCTTACTGTCAGGGACAATCACACATTTCACATAATTTCTGTGTGATTCATTCTCCACTTGAAATTC